TTTTTACGTAAAAATGGTATAGCAGTGAAAGTATGCATAACTGGGCTATTATAATCTCTAAGTGCGGCTGAAGGCCGTCTACGCAGAAAGGTGTTCTCTGCAAAAAGTGTTCAGCTCCGTTTCTTCGCAAAACAGACGGGAGGATTCTACTTAGTGAGGGTTATAATGCCTAAGTGCGGCCGAAGGCCGCTTACGTAGAAAGGTGTTCTCTGCAAAAAGTGTTCAGCTCCGTTTCTTCGCAAAACAGACGGGAGGATTCTACTTAGTGAGGGTTATAATGCCTAAGTGCGGCCGAAGGCCGCTTACGTAGAAAGGTGTTCTCTGCAAAAAGTGTTCAGCTCCGTTTCTTCGCAAAACAGACGGGAGGATTCTACTTAGTGAGGGTTATAATGCCTAAGTGCGGCCGAAGGCCGCTTACGTAGAAAGGTGTTCTCTGCAAAAAGTGTTCAGCTCCGTTTCTTCGCAAAACAGACGGGAGGATTCTACTTAGTGAGGGTTATAATGCCTAAGTGCGGCCGAAGGCCGCTTACGTAGAAAGGTGTTCTCTGCAAAAAGTGTTCAGCTCCGTTTCTTCGCAAAACAGACGGGAGGATTCTACTTAGTGAGGGTTATAATGCCTAAGTGCGGCCGAAGGCCGCTTACGTAGAAAGGTGTTCTCTGCAAAAAGTGTTCAGCTCCGTTTCTTCGCAAAACAGACGGGAGAATTCTACTTAGTGAGGGTTATAATCCCTAAGTGCGGCCGAAGGCCGCCTACGCAGAAACGTATTCTCTGCAAAAGGTGTTCAGTCCCTTTTCTTCGCAAAACAGAAAGGAGAATTCTGCTTAGAGAGGGTTATAATCCCTAAGTGCGGATTCACCTGCGGCGCTTTTTTCAAAAAAATCAATACTTTGATAAATAATGAAAATTTTTTATAAAAAAATCGCTAGATTTTTTATTAAACATTTTTGCCTGCGGCGCTTTTTAAAAAAAAAAACCAATACTTCGATAAATAATCAAAATTTTTTATAAAAAATCGCGCGATCTTTTATTAAACATTTTCGACTGCGGCACTTTTTTCACAAAAATCAGTACTTCGATAAATAATAATAATTTTTATAAAAAATCACGCAATTTTTTGTTACAAATTCTCGTCTGCGGCGCTTAAAAAAAAAACAATACTTCGATAAATAAATAATGATAAATTTTCGCCTGCGGCGCTTATAAAAATCTATAATTCGATACATAATGAAAATTTTTATTCAAATCAATACCTCGCCTCGTACTCTCTCTACTATTGCTTTGCATAGCCGTAACACGTCGCTTTCTTTTTTCCCCTTCTCTGTACTATATCTTCCTTCTTATTCATGTAACATTTTCTGTTTTAAAAATTTCACTCACCATTTTTGCGATACCGACGCCTAAGAAGTTTCACTTCAAAAATTTGCCGATAAGTGGCGTATAAGTCGACATATTTGGTAAAGCAGTATTTACTGTCCGATTTCGTTTATATTTAGAAAACTTGTTTTAAAAATATTTTTTTTCTATTAGATAACTTATTTTTCTGGTAATTCTCTAGTATAGGGTAACAACCTCTAAAATAGGTCCGGAAAAGTCGGGAGGGGTACCAAACGACGCGTTTCGGTCCCCCTATTTTTTCATCGTGTTTGCTGCAAAGACGTTTCTGAATACGATTTCAATTTGGTCAAAACAAAACGTAATCTATTATATATTTGTGATGAGTGTGTTGTCATGCCAGAGAAACTCGTTAAGGCTCTGGATGCAGTTCTGGGAACTCAAAAGCTTAGTATTGATCTTATTTCAAATACCTTTGATGCTAAATTCAAAGATTTGTCGAAACAATTTGATGCAATAAAAGATCTAATAATCTCCTTGCATTCGACCAACAACAACTCGAGTGCAAATAACCTTAACGCTGTGAATGCTGATATGATGGCTGCGGAATTCAATGCCAGAAAAACTGCTGCTAATATTTCTTACCACAATAACTACTATTTTTCCTCGCCTGGTGTTTTGGAGTTTTCCACTGTCTCTCATGCATTTAATTCGCCACGGGCACAGTTTGTCAGTAACGTTAACGGTATCTCTCCCGCTCATTTGGATTCTGCTGTGACAATCGCTACAGCTGTCAATACACTTGTAACTAACGATAGCACATACACCTCTATTACTGCGCCTACATCGCTGTCATCCGTTGCTCTTCAATCTACACCTGCTGTCTCTCTTAGCACTGCTTCTACTAGACCATCTTGCTCGTCGTTCGCTGATGCTGTTTTGTTGCCTAATACTAATACTAATATTAATACTAATACTTGTTCGCATGGCTCTAATACTGTACGTCAAGTTGGTGTCCTCATGGATGCAAATACTGTCGCAGATTGCACTGTCAATTTACCTGCTGTTACTACTACCACCACGAAGCCATCAAGCCCGTGCACTGCTAATGCTGTTGTTGCTGCTAATACATCTTTACCCGGTATGAGCTACGCTGCTGCTGCCGCTGCTGGCACTAATTCCGTGCAATCGAATGGAAATCGCTCTGTTAGGTCTCCTGCCGGTGCTGTTGCGGAAATCAACACCGATGATTCTTATAATTCAATTACAAATTACGCTGCTGCTGCTGATACATTTTCTGTGCAATCTAATGTTAATCACGCTTCATCGCCTATCCCTCTTTCTACTAATTCCGCAGCGCGCGACATTGCCTGTGCTAATCCAAATGCAAACACTTTAACTGCATTAGGGTGTGCCAATATGCGATTACCTATTAATACAGCCGCTTCGCCTTCTACGCGCATTAATGATCTTAATGATATCGGGGCTAATGTACCTCGTAACAATAATGCTAAGAAAGTGAATGATCTGCGGGTTTTTGGATCCAGTACTAACGCTGATCTTAAGGTTGCCGAGCATTTAAAGTGGCTTCATCTCGCCTCGTTTATGCCATCAGTGGAGACTGATGATATACTTATATATGTAGAAAAACATTCGGGCATCTCTAAAAACCTTTTATCCTGTTTCAAACTTGTAAAGAAAGATGCGGCAACTGAGTCTCTAAAACATGTGAATTTTAAATTGGGTGTTCCAGAAGGGCTCTTTCGTAAGCTGCTTATGCCCGAAATCTGGCCTGCTAATGTTACGGTTCGTCCTTTTCGTTTTTTACAAAGAAAGGAAAAACAGTCTCAACCAGCCTAGTAAATGTTAAACCTGCGAATGAGCTGAAAATCTATTTTCATAATGTGTCTGGCATGCGATCTAAAGGTGATGTGGTTCGTAGACTAAGCTCACATCAAGAATATGACATTTTCATTATAATTGAAAGTTGGCTAACCCCAAATTTCTTTGATGCTGAATTCTTTGATGCTACTCTCTATAATGTATTTCGGAAGGATAGAGATGAATTAAAAACTGGGTGTTCGAGAGGTGGTGGAGTTTTAATCGCGGTACAACGTAAACTCTGTTCAGCGTCTATCAATTTGAAAAATGCAGACTCTATTCTTGATCAACTATGCGTCAGTGTGCGGTGCCCGGGTGGACTACTCTTTCTGTGTGCCTCATATATTCCTCCGAACAGCAACTATATGATTTACAAGGCACATATCGATAATATTATTTCATTAAGTTCTAGTATAGGAGATCACCAACTTTGTGTTCTTGGGGATTTTAATTTATGTAATATTTCTTGGCGTAATTTGAACAGCCTATTTGTCTTAACTCCTGTAAATATTTCTAGTGAAAGTGAAATCCTTGTTATTGACAGTCTCTTAAGTATTGGTTTATGTCAAGTCAATGGCTTTTTTAACAAGCATAATCGGCTTTTAGATCTAGTTTTTTTATCTAATAATTTGCATTTTCGATTGTCAGTTTGTAGTTCTCCGATCTCAGCTGAAAACTTGCACCATATTCCTCTAGTTATAAGCCTACAGTTCTATGAATATTTTGCTGCTCCACAATTTAGTTCTCGTCCCAAATTAAATTATAACTTGTGCAATTTTAATGACTTGAATTATATTATTCAGGGGTACGATTGGTCTCACTTACTTGGTAACTTAGATACTGCGAAGGCCTTTGGTCTTTTCAAATCATTAATCTATGAGGTTTGCGTAAATAATATCCCTACTTTTCCAAGAAAAACGTATAAGATACCTTGGTATACTAAACATCTAAAGCATCTTAAAAATCGTAAAAATAAGTACCATAAAAAGTTTAAAGCGACTAAACTACTATTTTATTATGAGCAATACCAATTATATTTAAAGAAATTTAATGAACTCGATAAGTTACTCTACGCTAAATACGTTAATTACCAGGAAGCTAATATAAAAAAAAATCCTAAAGCATTCTGGAGTTATATTAAATCCAAATCTTCGAAATCCAGCATTCCTGCGTCTGTTTTTTATAAGGATAAACATGCAAGTTGTCCCGAGGAAGCAGCCAATATTTTTGCCGAGTTTTTCTCCTCAAATTTTGTCTCCGACTCAGATATTACCCATGCTAATGCCTTTATTCCTGAATGCCTACCTGCGTTTGGGTCGCTTATACTGTCGGAAGTGGACGTTGGTAGTGGTATTGATTCACTTAAAACCTCAAATCTTATGGATCCTGATGGCCTTTCAGCCATACTCTTTAAAAAATGCCCTGCATTAATCCAACCTTTGACACTGATTTTTAATATGTCTTTAGCATCGGGTAAATTTATTGATGATTGGAAAAAGGCTCAGATAACCCCGATTTTTAAAAGTGGCAACAAAAATGATGTATCTAATTATAGACCAATTTCAAAGTTAACCACAGTAGCGAAAATTTTTGAATGTGTTATTAAGGTGAAATTGTCATTCTCAGTTAGCAGCTTAATTAGTCCAAACCAACATGGTTTTATTAAAGGAAGGTCCACAGTCTCTAATCTTGCGATTTTTACGGAAGATTGTCTCTCTGCTTTTCAAGCAGGCCAGCAAGTCGACACAATATATACTGACTTTTCAAAGGCATTTGACAGAGTTTCTCACAAGGTCTTAGTGTCTAAATTATTCTCTATGGGTTTCCACTCTAATTTTTTGGAGTGGATTAAATCATATTTGTCTGACAGAAATTGCATGGTTGTGTTCGAGGATGTCTACTCACAGCCTTTTATTGCGACGTCGGGTGTTCCTCAAGGTAGTATACTTGGACCACTGTTGTTTATTTTATTTATTAATGACATAGGGTCCTGCTTCTCGTCATCTAAATATCTATTATATGCGGACGATCTCAAAATTTACTCCGTCATTAAATGTATAAACGATTCCATTGCCCTTCAAGGAGAACTCGTTAAACTACACGATTGGTGCAAACGAAACCGTCTTCATCTAAATATAAATAAGTGCTCACATTGTACTTATACCAGAAAGCTAATTCCGCTCCACACGCGCTATCATATTTCTGGATCTCCTCTTAATCATGTTAATGAAGTCAAGGATCTAGGTGTCTACTTCGACACGAAACTAAATTTTTCCACGCATATCGAATATATAGTTGGCAAATCATACGCGATGCTGGCTTTCGTCCGGCGTAATAGTTCATCTTTTTACGATCCATACACTTTGAAGCTGCTTTATATTACTCTAGTAAGATCCAGGTTGGAGTATGCGTCATTCATTTGGAGACCATACCACAATTCTCATATCACGCGATTAGAACGGATACAGAAAAAAATTTATAAAATTTGCTTTACGCTCACTGAATTTTAGTGAACCCATTCCCTCATATGAATCACGTTGTGCACTTCTAAATTTACAAACTCTAAGTAGCAGATCTGCTTATCTTGCTTGCTCATTCGTTGCCAATCTCTAGAATGGATCGGTTGATTGCCCTAACCTCTTGGAAAGAATAACTTTCAATGTTCCTACACGTAACTTACGCAGTGTTTCTTCTTTCTATATCGTATTTTCTAAAACAACAAAATTTCGTTGTTTTCTATGAGCAATTATCACGTCAAAAATGCACTAAATCACCAGTTTCCACTTTTAAAACACTATTACAACGTCTCCGGTTATTGTTTTATGCAAACAAAATCATTTATTCACTTTTATTACTTATAAGAAATCGCGCGATTTTTTATTAAAAATTTTCATTATTTATCGAAGTATTGATTTTTATGGAAAAAGCGCCGCAGGCGAAAATTTTTAATAAAAAACCGCGCGATTTTTTATTAAAATATTTCATTATTTATATATATGATATATATATCAAACCAAGGCCGCATTTAGTGAAACTAAAAAATTTTTCTTTGTCGGGGTAATTGCCCATACAAAACAACGAAATTTAACAATAGTTTTTTGTTTATAACTTTTAAATGGTTAATAATATTAGCTCTCCCCCTCCGGATTGTTAATACGGGGACCGAAACGCGATTGGTACCCCTACCGACATTTCCGGACCTTTTTTAGCGGTTGTTATCCTAACCTAGAGAATTACCATTTTTCTAAGTAAAATTTTAACTTGTCTAATAAAAAAATTTCTTTTTAGGGAGTTTGTGGAAAAATTTTATCCCAGCCTTAAAAAGAACAATCCAGATTTGCCTATTCTAATACGTGAATGTTCAGGAATTCAACCACGTTTATGGGCACGATTTGGTATGATCCTATAATGAACAAGATTAAGAGATTCTAACTTCTTATTTCAATAGCTTTAGGTAAAGAGACGTCTGTTCCATTGACGAACCAATCAGCACCGGAAATACAAAAGCAGTTGGAAGCTGTAACAAAGACTTAAAGTCATCAAGAAGGGCATCAGATTAAAAATAGAGACTATTTCAGACGAATAAAATATACTTAAATGTATGCATAATTCATTATTAATCTTTTAGTTGTTAGATTTATCACTACACACAGGATAAATTTGGGAACATTTCGAAAGTAAACTATTTAAATTGAGGGAAATGGCGGCAAGACATAATATTCTGGTTTGAAATCTTGTAACGATTTGAAAACTATTGTTGCCCCTTCGTAGAGTTTCTTCGGCACAGGCTGGTCAGGCACTATTACTACCTGCATTCCTGCACTCAATGCTGCTCGTACTCCAAGAGGTCCATCAGGCATTTTGATGAATCGGGTTTCACGATGGTTTGTGATTTTTATTTCGACCATCGATTCCCCGGAACTTTTGGCCAAGCCTATGGGAATCCCATGACAATATAAATGTCTTAGAAGACGCTTTGCACCTATTATCCAAGTGGCATCCTTGGCAGACCGACGTGGAAAATTGCATTGCATTTATCCGTATAAAATTCGTCACCTAAATGCAACTAAATGCAACCCCATTTTTGCATTAAGAATCTAAATGCTAAAAGCAACCCTGTGATCTTCCAAAATGTCCACGATTCGAACATGGTTTAATGAGAAAAAGTGGCAACATTGCTTTTTCGCGTATACAGTGGCTAAAGGGTGAACACACCAAAACTGCGACATTTTGGGAAGCTTATAACTTACCCAAAACGAATTCAATATTTTGAAATTCAAATACCATAAGCTGACCACATGACNAACCGAACATTTGTTTGTGTATATATTCATTTCTCGGTGCTGTCAATTAAAATTTCCTCACTTAATTAGGAAACAAAACAAACAGATTTGATCACAAATTGATCCAGATTTCTATCAGCATCACATCGATGTTGAATTGGCGTAACTTTTCTTTATCTCGATCGGCGATCCCTGAAACGCAGCTAGCCACTGTATACGCGAAAAAGCAATGTTGCCACTTTTTCTCATTAAACCATGTTCGAATCGTGGAAATTTTGGAAGATCACAGGGTTGCTTTTAGCATTTAGATTCTTAATGCAAAAATGGAGTTGCATATAGTTGCATTTAGGTGACGAATTTGGTATGGATAAATGTACATTTAGAGTAGCATTTAGAGCTAAATGCACTAAATGTGCTTTTACGCGTAAGCAAAAACAGCCCATTAACTTATCAGTCCCGCAGAGATGCTGCTGCAGTTTTCTGCAGCAGCCTTAATTGCAAAGCAATGGAGTGCACTAAAACGTTTGCTGAAGCAGCCTCAATTGTAAAGCAATGGAGTGCACTACAATGTTCACTGTTTTCTAATAGATTAGGTGAAAATGCAATATTTTCGCATTTAGCAAAATTAAAACACGTTTTTCGCAGTAAAGTGAACTGCTTTGGCTGTTTCAACTCGTTCTTCTTTTCGCTCTATTCTTTGTTTACTTGTGGTACACAAATGTCAACACCCAGGACGGCGCAATCTTGTATTCTATCATTCTTGGCCTTAAGTACACGTAAAATTGCTAAAACATTAAAGATTGCACTATTCGACAGTTTGCAGGGTTTTAATCGGTACCAATAAGGCCTGGCAGTTACGAGAAAACCAGGGAGCGTGGGTTAGCATGGTCAATGTGATAAAAACAGTGCCCGGAAGGTCCTCAGTGCGTTTTCGCGAAATCCGAAGATTTTGTGGCGTTATGTTGCAAAATCCGTACGCAGAATGCTTCATTGAGATGTTCTACAGCTCAAACAGCGCCAGACCGAGGCGCAAAGTAGAATGTTGCAGCGAAATCCTGCATTCGAAGTTGTATGAATTCTACATTAAAAAATACAACTGCATTGTTATCGACTACGAAACCTACTGTTATAAAAATTCAAAATATATTGCAGGTCAAGATTTTTATACTGGTGCAAGTCGTCAAGATGCCCCTGAAAGTTGTAAGCTGAAAATGAAGTCCAAATTTCCAAAAAACCACATGGTTTGGCAAGCTATTTGATCCTGTGGCCGTAAGAGCAGCCCTTTTTTCCCATCCGGGACNAATAACATCAATTTTGTACCTCACGACTGCAATCCACCCAATAGCCCAGAGCCACGTCCTATTGGGGAATATTGGTCAATTGTCAAAGAAATCTTGCAGAAAACAGGTGAAACAGTGAAAAATATTGAAGAGTGCAAAACAAAGTAGTTGTGCGCATCGCGTAAAGTCGATAATGCAGTCGTACAGAACATGATGGCGCGTGTGCGATGAAAATACCGATCACTTGCATATGGAGCAAATAATAACTAATATTTTAACATTTTAATAACATCTAAACTTCCAAGTTATATAATACAAAAAAAAAATTTCAAAGCCTGCTAGTTTGTTTCTGGTAGTAATTTCTAAGTGTCGCAGTTTTGGTGTGTTTACCCTTTAGCTGCGTTTCAGTGATTGCCGATCGAGATTTCATTTATTATTTTACATTATTTGGATAAAGAAAAGTTACGCAAATTCAACATCGATGTGGTGCTGATAGAAATCTGGATCAATTTGTGATCAACTCTGTTTGTTTTGTTTCCTAATTAAGTGAGGAAATTTTAATTGACAGCACCGACAAATGAATATATACACAAACAAATGTTCGGTTATGGTTAAAACAATTCAAGTGTTTGTATTGAATTTTTGGTTTAAAATTTATTTTTTCCTTTTCAGTAAGGTTTTTTGCGCATTATCTTTTGCGCGAGAATTGATCGCAATAGATACGGATCTGAATAAGCGACTGGAACACGGCTGTTTGTCAAAAGCATACGATTTCGAACTCGCGTAAATGTACATTTGCTAAATGCGATAGCATGAACGCTCTTCGAAAACATATGTTCGAAAGTGCTAAATGTTGCATTTTAAATGCAGCAAAAACGCTAATGTGCAAAAACCCCTACTGAAAAGGAAAAAATAAATTCTAAACCGAAAATTCAATACAAAAACTTGAATTGTTTTAACCATAACCGACAGAATTTGTCGGTGCTGTCAATTATAATTTCCACACTTAATTAGGAAACAAAACAAACAGAGTTCATCACAAACTAATCCAGATGTCTATCAGCATCATATCGATGTTGAATTTGCGTAACTTTTCTATATCCAAATAATGTAAAATAATACATGAAATCTCGATCGGTGATCACTGAAACGCAGCTAGCGACTGTATACTCGAAAAAGCAATGTTGCCACTTTTTCTCATTAAAGCATGTTCGAATCGAGGAAATTTTGGAAGATCACAGGGGTGCTTTTAGCATTTAGATTCTTAATGCAAAAATGGAGTTGCATTTAGTTGCATTTAGGTGACGAATTTTGTATGGATAAATGTACATTTAGAGTAGCCTTTAGAGCTAAATGCGCTAAATGTGCTTTTACGCGTTAGCTAAAACAGCCCATAAGATAGCCATTATGTTTAGATTTGTCTCTTCATCGACTCAGCTTAAAAATCGTATCGCACTGCAGGCTACGAAGAGATTCAACAGGTGGGTATCATTATTAAGATCTAATATAAACAATACTCATAAAAATACAAACGTCGCTTAACCCACGTAATTCTTTTTACCTCCCTTTTATTAGCTCGGGATGTAACTATGTAATATTGACGCGCCTAAAAGATGCAGCAATTTCTATTCTCAAATTACATACCTGATGACAGTACGAATGGAAATTATAACAGCGAGGTTTTAGTTTTTTAAACTATAATTTTATTTGTTACCGACGTCGAATTGTTCTTGGAACATATAAACTTTAAGGCAATAGATTAGCCTTGAACGATGCCGTGCAATAAAGCCATAGGAAATGGAGAAATAAAGACATATCCCTATATTTCGATGGGGAAAGTGAAATAAAGCCATAAGCAAAAATTTTACATATGAGAAATAAATCCATACGATCTTATTTCAATACAAAAAGTAAATGTTGTCTGTTTAGCGGCGGTCCGCGTTGGCTCGCCACCCTGCGCTGTGCTTGCGCTCCCCCCGTATAAGATTGTTGCTTTGTTCATTCTTGCTTTTGATATACATATGTACATATATGAGGTTTTCTTTTAAATCAGTAAGATATATTTATATATCTATATATCGTCGTTTAAAGTACAAAACCGCGTATCAAGATGACGCTAAACCGCGTATGTGAGGTTGCATAAATTATTTTGTAGAGAGAAAAAACACTCATATTTCAAATTTGTTCTCTATTATAAAGCAATCGCATTTCTGGCTAGTATATTTCAGCACGAATAGATAAGGCTTGAGCCAAGAGCTTCGGTGAGCAATTCCAACTTTTGGGAAAAAATTTAATTTACGCGGTTTTGCAGAACGACGATAGGCGGTTTTGTACTTTAAACGACGATATATGTATATGGGGTTGAGTACTTTTCGTTTCTGTCATTAACAATTTTATACATACCTCAAGTTAATATACATTTTCCCGATTTAAAACAAAATTTCATATTCATACGTTATATCTATACAAAATAATATATATACATACATATGTATATATCTATGAGATTTTCTTGTAAATCTGTAAGATATACTTATATAAAAAAAGTGTGTATAAAATTGCAAAACCGAAAAGTACTCAACATTGCAGACGCCATATAAGGAAAACTTAATTATTACGAAATATAAATAAAGTGGCAGCACTTTACGCCATTTTGCATTTTCTCGTTTCAGTTCGGGAACATTGTTTACTTGTTTTTTAATAACAAAATAATAATAAACAATTATGTACTTTTTGAAAAAGTTTTTCAAATATATTTTACTAGAGTTTCAAAAGAGAATATTGTTGATTTAGTGCATTTTTGATCGTGCAATTACTCATAAAAAAGAGCAACATATCAAAAAAGTATTATAACTTTGTTCACATAACGGTTGTTTGTAACAGACAAAACGAATCGAAATAGATATAGACAAATGTATACATAAATGATCAGAATGAAAAGAATGTTGAGGACATGAGCCTCAATCTCTTAGAATAGTTTAAATCCTTTTTATTAATCTGCGAGCGGCTGGCAACTCTTTGTGCACACTATTGTGAATTAAATGAATTGATTTGTTTTAGTTGTCGTTGTAGCTGTATATACATAATAAAATAGTTAGTTGCTCTCCACCACAGTATAGACAGTAGCCAACCTTTTTGGGTTGTTGTAGTAATCGTTGTTGTTGTAGCTACATTCACCCTTGAGGAAGGCACTGGGTTGTGTGCTGCTATTTAATGGCCTTCCTCAGACTTTTTCTTAGATTTCAGGGTTGTGTGCTGCATTATTTCTAGATAAATAAATTTAAGCCTTTGACAAATCGTGATTTTATTAAAAGAAAATTATAAATGGTGTTGAAAAACCAAACAAACGCTCGTGCGAAAGCTTTTTTTTTGTATGTTGTTAATGTTTATACATGGCGATATTGATGGTAATACAAGCAATGTATTCATTTGTGGATTTGATGTCACTTGAGAATTTAGGCAACGTGCGAGTTGCCAGGTTCTGTTATCAATATAATTAACACAAGCTTTTCCGCGTGGTTGCCTTTCAATAAATAGAATTAACAAATATTC